ATGGTGGGAACGCGTGGCGCGGTGTGTTCTCACCAGCTCTCACGGAGCGCCTAGGCTGCGACGAGCGCGCAAGGTTGCTGCTGCTGTTGCCGCTGCCGCCGGTGCCGCCGGGTCCCGCTGCAGCCCGAAACGTTGCCGCGCCGCTGCATGCAACCTGCCGCGCCGCGCGACCTCACCGGAATCACAGGCGACGACAACCGTGTTCCATGACGGGTGCCGACCGAAACTGGACCCCACATGACCTGAGAGCGGCCCGTCCCTCCTCCTCTCCCCATTGTTTCGTTCGCGTAATAGCGCGCCCGGAACTCTCGAGTGTACTCGAGATTCGCGATGCGAGTCGCACAATGCGAATCGCGGGGCAAGGTCCTCCACGTGTTCGAATTTCCTTTGCGAAAATTCTAGGACTTTATTAAAGCCGATTCTTTAAACCGCGTCATACAAACTGCTTTCTTTTTACAAAGTGATGTTCATTAATGAATTTATGTTCAGAAAATAAACGATTATGTCACTGCGAGCATAATTGTTATGCATGAGAAAAGGAGTTGAGTCTTCTATTTTTCTTGTTAACGCACCGTGAAATGAATTGCCAGCAAATTGGTTGAGTTTCCAAAAATACTATCTATAAATCGAATGATTAAAACAACATGTGATCTATAAACGTACAGTCGTACGATGTGTAAAGACACTAAAGAGAACAATATGAAAACAATCTCTATGCGAGGAGATTATCGTACCCTCGACCGAAAAAACATCCGAAATTTTGTGATCCCGTGCGGCGGAAGGTTCTTTCGGTTTAAGATCAAACAGATCGTGTTTCTCAAAGATCAGTCCCGCGGAAACATTTTTTAACTGAATAATGAACAATATGTTACACAATAAATAGATTATTTTATTCACAATTAAATCTGCAATTACATATCAAGAGAATTGAATAATTATTGCGCGACGAGAATCATCCATTCATTGTATCCTTAAGTTTTACTATTGAGAAAAAAATTAGCATGTAATTTTGCACACGCGGAGAGATGGCCCATTGTAAGGAAAGGACTCTCCGGACAGCACGATATATAAAACATTCCCACAGGATTCCCGAGCGCGACGCGCCGGATCCTCCCACGATTCTTAAAGAGGAACAGTTATGGCGTGTCAAGCAAGGACACGAAATTTCAGCTTTTCTATGCAAATACATACCTGCGCGGACCGACTTAACACCGTTTTCTTTCTCCCTTCCTAATAAAACATCGAATCCCCGAGGTCGCGGGTTCCTCGTGTGTCGGCCACGCGCATCGCCATAGCGGTCAGATCCCCCATAATGGATGCACGAGGCACAAGCTCGTTTCCTTTTCTTTCCGCATATTTTTTTTTCACTCCTTCCACACGCGGGTCTCCCTCTCTCTTTCTCTTCGTCTCCTTCCTCCGTCCTTTGCGTGCTCGCCATTATGGGCACCCGGAATCCACCGACACGACGGAATATAAGGCAAAGGGTGAAGCCGAACGCGAATCGCAGAAACGTGGGAACCGTCGCCAGGTGATCCCCTCGTTGTGTAAGTTCGTAAGCGTCGTGCGGGCACAAACTTTTGCGAGCCCGCGCGAAAGACGGCCACTCCGGAAAGGGGTACGCGCGAGAATGGGACAGCCCTCTCCGAGGAACCTCAATGCTCACGCTTACGTAACGGGGATAAGACGGGGGATGAATTCTGCTGTGCAAATATGCAAGCACACAGTTGCAAAATAAAAATAACCATATCGAAGTGATTAAAAAAAACCGAGAGATATTTTAGAGAAAATTGTTTACAAAAATTATGAATAATTATGATTAACGTTAAACAAACGCAAAATTTTAGAGTTTAATATATTTCACAATATTATTTCTAGTTATAAAACAAAACGTGGGAGTGTCGCGTAATTCAGAGTTTTAATAAGAAATTTATTGCGGGACTAATTTGTCTAAATGCCACCCCTTCTGAGAGTAACAAATGGCAGAGCGCTGTGAGTGACGCCGCTTACGCGAGACGACGCGTTTGTGGTTTTTTTTTTTTTTTTTTTTTTTTTTTTTTTTTTGTATTTTTTTAATTCAACCCTCACGGAAACGAGTTATATTTTTCTGCATTTATACTACATTTCCCGGGAAAAACGACAACCCAGATGTCGACCCCACGCATGCATTTTTTTCAGCACGCCTCTCTCCAGCGCGGATATTAATAGGATTGGCTGTACTGTATCATACTAATGATCACACATGGTTTGTGAGAAAATCTATGATATTTTTTCCGGTTATTAAATCACATTTTTTTTTCGATGACGAATTTATCACGCACTAAAAAAAAAAAAAACGTGGTCGGCGCGCGAGAGAATCACACGGAACAGAAGGAAGCGTCTGTCTGAACGCCGAGAAAACGCCCCGGCTCCAGTCTTTTTCCCGCGAGCGGAAATAAAGATTTGAAGATTTGAGGATAATGTTTCCTTCCTGTGCGATCTTACTGGCTGCGTGGGTGCGGGCTGCAGGTGCATCCCAAGCAGCTCAAAAGCAGCGGGGTCGGAGAGGGTGGGCGTTCCAAATTTAAACCGTAGCGCGCCTTCTTGATCCTCGTCGAGAGGTTTGTGGTCAAGCCAAGTACACTTCGGAGCCTCTCAGCCTCTTAAGGTTAATGAGAAGGTCGCGACATCTGACCGAACGCCTTCCGTTATGACAGCTAGGCTGGAATATTTATGGGAAATTATGGATCATGGGAAAAAGAGAGATTCTCTCGCAAAAATGTGTACACGTAGCAAAATCCTCTTCTAACTCACCACACACGCGTTTTTATACACACTCCAATTTTTTTTAATCCTATAAAACAAAAGAAAATCTGCTTCTTTGAATGTATATTAAAATATTACATATCTTACATGTTTCTTCTTCTTTTTCAATTTTTCAATTTTTTTTTTTTTTTGATATCAAAATAAAAATAAATTTTTGCAAACTCAACGCAGTTTTCTCGAGTGTTGTGTTTACATAACATTGAAAGCAAAATCGATCATACCAAAAGTGACTTTACGATAAGCGAGGTATTGTTTCAATTATCCCTTACATAAGTTCTCTATAGAAGGCAGCTGCTTTCCAGCCGATCGTTATCAAATTATAATACAACACTTATATCAAAAAATACAAGAGAGAATTTCATTCGTCGTAAACACGCCGAATCGCTTATCAAACATCTAAGCACCGATATAAAAACTTCATAAAGCGCGCATAACCGCGACAAAAATCTCGACTATAGACCGGTCGCGTTTTATCGAGTCATCTCGTCAAGTTCCACGAGAATCTCGATTTTTACACGCCTAATATAGTTAAAAGTTTTCTAAAGAGAGTTCTCCGTTGCATCTGTTGGATATTGTAAACGGCACAGCTGCCTTCTGTCGTAAACGAATCACTTATCGCGGCTAGATCGCATATTCATGATATATTGTGAATGGCTGGTGCGGTAATGACTCACTTGCGCACACTTTGTTTGTTCATTTGTACGTGTGCACTTAGTTATTTTGTTTGTTATTGAATTCCGCGAATTACTTGTTCTATCTCTCACAGCGACGTCATTTTCCGTACACTATTTTATACAATTCGATTTTTCCGAATTAGAAATCAAATTCGTGAAGTAAATTTAAAAATCGCGTGTTTAATACCGTGTCTAACGTACGCCAACGAGGCGTCAGAGAGACGATTTAACTACTTGTATTTGGATTGTGTGTCGGCGTCACGCAGCAAACGTCTTTGTCGAGGAAAATACTGCAAACTATGGTTTCTACAAGAAGTGTGAAGTCCTCCTGTCGAGACAGTAAGTCGAGGCGAGATAGTGAAATAAAGCAATTTCGAAGCAACCTTGAGAAACAAAATCCCAAACATTTGCCAAACGAATAAATCACAAGTAAAAATCTTGCTTGTTGAACAATAATCGTAAAGTTTTTATTACAGGTTTGACTAACCTCTGTCGAACCAAATGAGCTCTCTTTAAATGACTTCGTCATTGAAACACACTCCGGTTGTAAAAAAATCTAGTTATAGACTCTCACGTGCATTACGGAGGATGACAAAATACAATTGAAAGGTTTTTAACGTATACGTGCATTTAAAAAATTAAAAAAGAAAAACAATATGTATTTTATATAAGAAATAAACGTGTGGGAAGAATATGTTGCTGCGTTAACAGCGGCAGTTTTGTACAGGTAAATAACAACACGTTTCAAAAAAACAATTCCCACGTGAGGGGCTTTCATATGCACTCGTGCAGATCGTGCATCGGATCGCGTTGCGCGCGCCAGCCACACTTATGACGTGCGTACACGCACGCACATACACACGTCGGCACGCAATGTTTGCCCTTCTCTGTCAGATGATCCTCCATTGCACGCCTTTGTGCTTTACCGCTGCTATAGTCAGTGTGTGCTAACAATCGATATTTCTCCACGGATATTGCGTCTACGTAAAACTGTCCCGAAAACACATATTTGCAAACTATGTAACATTAGAATTTTCATCGTATAAGAAATATAAAAAATATATAAATCTTACTACATCTTGCAAATAAAATGTAGAAAATAGAAAAATGAAAAAAAAATTGTAACCTTCTATGTCGCAGTTTAAATTTAAAAAAAAGTCGTTGATAAACAGAAGATGTATATCTTGTGAAAATATTTGTGTGAAAAGAGAAAAAAAATAAATTAAAACACGAATTAAATAGATCTCTTTGTCTCATCGGAGATCGCGTCCAAATTGCTTCCGATATTATCTCCACAGGATGTAGCCAAAATTTTAAGTGACTACGTTGCACGAGGTATATCCTACACAGACGGTGTGAATTCCCACACATCAACAGGTCTCAGGAGGGCCGAGAGAGAATCTCCCCACCTATGAGGTATATCCAATACCCCACTCCGCACTTTGCCCCACTCCACGGATGCAGCATGGGTGCATCGGCATGCGGTCTTCAAAATCGAAAACGTCAAACAGTTACCCTCAACACCCCGAACGCGACGTCCATCGGTAACGATGGATCTTCCCAATTTGATTTGAAGTTTTCATCACTCGAACACACGTCACGCGTTTTGCGCATTGTGAAAAGAGAACTCGGTGTGTCTTCAGTGCGATCGCTCAACCTGCACGTACTACTATGTCATGAAGGCGCGAAACCAATTAATTAAGATAATTATCGAGAATATGTATTTATAGTAATTAGTTAAGAGAAAGTGTGCTCGCGTTTGTGCGAAAGTTTATACTAAGTCAAGAATCCTGTTTAAAGGGTGGATTATTGTAATTGTATGCAAAATGCTGGGCAGCGAGGAGGAATTGGAGCCGCAAACACACTCGGGAATGACGAAAGCGGAACTGAGAAGGGTGAGAAAAATTATGAAAATGCTTATTTTTGTTGTTGCTTCTATGTAAGAATAAAAAAATACAACATTAAATATACAACATTAAAAAACACGAAAATAATCAATATTAAAAACTTGCGACGCGGTTGTTTCAGAGTAACAAACCGATCATGGAAAAACGACGGCGAGCTCGAATTAATCAGTATCTCGATGAGCTGAAAAATTTCATACTCGTAAATGAAAAAGACGTAAGTTACATATTTTTATTGCAATACAACTTTTTTGTAACATACGATATATTCAGCAAATTAGCTGGCTTATCGATCGAGAGATGGCAATCGGAAGTGGCTGGTTATAACACGAGCGTAAATTAGCATCTTTTGTATGTCTTTTAATCTTTTAAATGCGTCTAAATGGCACGGCCGGCCGGCCGGTAGGATTCGCGATAAACAACATCAGCAGAGCGCTCGAATAATAGCGCAAGATTGTATGCCAGTCATTGTACGCGTGATTTTTGTTTGTCCGTGTGAGATCCACATGTTGCTGGCGACGCGTTAAAACATGTTGTAGACAAACGTGACTTCCCGCTCTGTTTATCTAGAGACGTGATCCCGCTTTACTAAAGATAACGAAAAATGTGCTAGTACTGATGCGTGCGTGAAGGACGCGCGCGCTCGAAGAAGATAGGTGTTTCTGCACGCTACTTACAAAAAATTTACTGTACAAGTATATTATATCGTTATATATCGATTCGATTTTCTCTAATATAACTAATTACTATTATAAATACATATTCTCGAGATAATTATCTTAATTAATTAGTTTAGTGTCTTCATGACATAGATGACCACACTTGGTCAAAATATTTTCGAAATTTTATTTAGACAACTTACGTTTATTTATTGAATATTTCATTCCGATAAAATTGAAGTGCTCAAAATGTAACAAATCAAAGTTATCTTATCGAATAAAAAATTATATAATCTCATGTAACTAAAATTATTATTAATTAATTTTTATCTGAATTAAAAATATTTATAAAAAATCTTTTGTTATGACAAATGTGAAAAGGTTTTCCGATATCAAAAAAAAAAAAAAAAAAACGTAAGCACTGCAAGACACATTAAAGATAAGCGTAAAGAAACAGATAAAGAATAAAAAGATTCGGAGATACATACATTGAGAAATAATAATTTTGTGTGTCAGTAGCGGAAGTTGTCATAACGGATGTATATTGGACGTATTTGATCAGGTTATCCAACGTAGACCCCTTTTTTAGGCATCTGCGACAGGATCTGTTTTAGACTGGAGAAATGGACTTAACAAGGTGGGGGAGGGAGGAGTAGGGTTTTGTTTTAGTATTTTAGATGCCTCCGCGTGGGAACGGATGGAACTGGATCCCCATACCCGCGTAATCTGTTCTACAAGATTTTACAATGGCACTCGAACCGTTTGAAAGAAACAGGAGGGGGGAAGGAGGAGGGAGAGAACATTTGAGAGAGAATCTCCAATTATTACATTTTAAAATTATGATTTGCCAATTTTCGACATTATTGATAGAATCAGAGACACCACGTTATATTTGATACATTCGATTATAATACGAGAACCAAAGCGCAAATGAGATTTTAATAGAATCGAATATTGATCGAATTACGATTTATATCACGCTACTTATTTACGGACCAAGGATTCTGCGCCATGTAATACAATCCGGCAAGATTGATTTCTCAAACAGGCGTATAACGAGACAAGAGACGCGGCTCTCACCGTTTTCTCTTCGCTCTGTCCAGATGACTTCCGCTACCTGCTCGCTTCGGTGTGTCCGTCCCGTTTTGTCCGTACGAAACGCCCCCCGCGCCTTTTCGTGGGAACCTCGAAATAATTATTACGAGAAAAAAAATCTCATCTCAGGTTGCAGCCTCTCTTTGTTGACCGTATCATCTTTAAGGATCCAGCGGCTCCGGTCCGCGACGACGACGATGCGGATCGGCGAAAAAGGGGAGATGTGCAACGCCTCTCCTTTTTTTTTTGTCAGTTCTCTAACAGGTGCTTCTCCTCCTCGTTCCTTAGAGTTCGGGTGTCAAATTCACTCGCGAGAAAATCGATATCGCCGATAAAGAAACACTTCCTTTCATCTCGCGTAGTGTGTTATTCACGTTACACTTTTATACAATCAACTTTGTATCCTCATGTTGCGACTTTATTATTTTATTCCAACGAATTAGAAAGGTCTTACAATTCCGCTTAATAAAGTTTTGTGCTGACTCCCACGCTTATCCTTAAGAGCGGTCGCAAATTTACCATAAAAATACGGGGCTTTAGGATGATCCGACGAAAGCGAAGGCCCATAGGGCAGAAGAATACAATGGATCCTCGAGAAAGGAGAGCTACACTATTGAATTATTGGTGGCTAAAGGGCTGGTGTGGGAAATAAGATGACATACGCTAGATTTGGGGAAGGTCACGTCCATCAGAATATTAAGAAAAAAATTGTTTTGTGATGTTGTTTGAGAATCGATTTTTTCCCACGATTTTACTAATCAATAATTGTTTGTGTCAAATTTTCTTAAGTTGATTGAGAATAACTTTTTTTTTTTTTTATTATGTTAGTAAATCGTCGATACGCGTATCGATAGATCTATTTCCGTAATGCGTGTTTGTGTGAGAGGTAAACACCTCCAAACAACTCACGTGTGACTTGAATAAAACACACAGATTTTAATGATCTATCGTACACGCAGACTGATGAAAAATTCACCAAGAAAATGTGTGAGCTATGCTGCCCCAAGGCTGATTGTGAAATGAGGTACATTAGCTACCGCAGTTTCTAGACTGTTATTAAGGCAGCAATTCATATCAAGTCAATTACATAGGCGTGTCGCGTCATCGTAGATTTCTTGATACACAGAAACGGTATATCCTTCACTGACAAGAATATCCTCTATAACTTCTATGAGCGATTACTCTGTTCTGGATAAGAAGAAATCTCATTCTCTTCGATCTCTTCATCGTAACAGTCTTCATTTTGTCGCACATCCAATTACCTTCTGTAGATAACACAGAATTGTCCCAATGCTGATAATCGATGTGTTTCCTAACTTTCCGACTGAGGTCACTTCTGACTAGCCACACTCAATCAATAAAGCAGTGATATAAGATTTTGTACTTTAAACGTTATAAATATCTTTACTTTATCTTTGTTTTGTTTTTTTTTTTTTTGTTACAGCCGACTAGACACTCAAAACTCGAGAAGGCTGATATTCTGGAAATGACGGTGAAACATATACAAACGATGCAACGACAGCATTTGAGCACGGCTGTCGCTAACGATCCGGCGGTGCTAACGAAATTCCGTTCCGGATTTTCCGAATGTGCTACCGAAGTATCGCGATATGTCAACCGCCTCGAGAACGTCGATCCTGCCATCAAGCAACGATTGGTATCACACTTGAACAACTGCGTGAGTCATCTTCAGCAAATGGCGCCGTTCTACAATCACTACGTGCCCTACATGCCGGAACGCCTCTATCCGGAGGTAAAGGTCGGTTTCCAGAGCGATTTCCAGAATGGAGATGAGAATAACAACGGTAGCGCGAGAATACAGATACCGCATGGAGTTCAATTAATCCCCAGTCGACTGCCGACCGGCGAATTGGCACTCTTGGTGCCGCAATCCGCCGGTATCTCTGCGAATTTCCCCTTCTTTCCGCCGACCACGGATACATCTACCAGGATCGGTCAATCTTCGGCTTTCACCGCGATTCAGAGACCGCACAGCCCGCTGCTGAGTCCCTCGACTTCCACGTCCAGCTACGGCGACGAAAGTCATCACTCGGAACATCCGCATGCATCGTCACCCAATCATCATCAGCCGCAACATCGATTCAAGTTACCGGAGCAGAGCCCTGCGTCGTCAAAGAGCTTCTCGTCCTCACCGGAGACCCAGAAATCCCACATTAGCTCGAGCAGCGAGCGAAAGTCGCCGACCACAACATTTCTGGAACCGAAGTTCAAGGACGATAATGTCGCGACTAAAAAAGATTCCGCAGAGAGTACGGAAAGTACCAGTCATATTAGCGGCTTTGCAGTGCACAGCTTGCGACAACCCCTTTCCGTGATTACAGACAAGACTTACAATCGCGCTCCGAATAGCTCGTTGCTCGTGAAAGACAGTCTCAGGAGACGGTCTCATTCCAACGGGCTTTTGGCGATTTCAGATAAGAGACCGAGATATCAGGAACCCACTAGTTCGTCCTCCTCGACAAATAATGTCGACTCGCTTAAAAGCACAAATGAACATTCGGTTACGACCGAGGATTTGCCGGCAAGTCAAAATTATCAGACTCCACGAAACTCAAATACAAGTTCCAATAAGTTTTCAATGAGCCCGGCAGGTCCTTTCGATTCTAATAACGACATGTGGAGACCTTGGTAATTACTGTTCCAAAAAATTTGAAGATATATTTTGAAAAATGGAAAACTGTACGCAACGTTTCTACATTGTGGTTAATATTAAAAACGATAAATTTTATATATTTATGTATACTTATAATATATGTAATATATATATATATATATATATATATATATATATATATATATGTATACACTCTTATTACATCTTTTCAAAAAGCGACATCAGAGTTTATATACGTATGACTTGTCTTGAGTTTTCAATTTTCTAAAGAATGCATCGAAGTACAATTGCCTTGGCGGTAGCGTGCCATAAAATTGATAAAATTTTTGATACTTTGTCGCCTTCTAATGTTGTGTACGCATGCTATGTATTTATTGTTTCGGATCATCACATTTGTTTTAAAGATAATAATATTTTCTAAATATAATAATTAAATTATAAATGTAGATTTTTAAAATGGTTCGGAGGAAGTCGATGCTGAAAATACTACAATTTTGTGCCAAAGCATGAAATTGAATTGTAGATTGTTTTGTACAAGATTAGTACGTAACGTTCCTTGACGTATTGTTGTGTTACGTTCTTAATCTTTCATTCACGTTGAAGATTCTTAAGCTTTAAATAGGTTAAGATTTTACTGAGTAAGTTTTTCTCACAACGTAGGCGTAATAATATGTGAATAGTGTTTGTACATATTTTCCACTTTTTACTTAAGCAATTGGCTCTTTAAGCAATTAAACTGTATATCGTAAATTATAATTTAAATATCGTAAGTCAACGTTGTGTGCGTGTGTGATTAATTTTTAACGATCTAACGACGAATGATGGTCAGTATTATCAATTAACACGTTTACCGCGATGATTTTTATAAACTCGAGCGAAAACATACACGTAATACACAATGTTCAGATGTTATATTGTTTTTTACATAGGTACATATATGTATACGCTCATTATCAAATTATTTTTGAATTTATGCATCAATTGTCTATAAAAGTATCACAATCATATTCCTGAATTTATGCGTCAACTGTCTATGAAAATATCACAATCATATTAGTGTTGTGTTTTATTCGATGTACACAAATTTAAATTTGTACGTCCAATGCGACGTTATTATAATATCAACCATTTATTGATTGTGTTATGACGCTCGACGTGTTAAAATAGTATTACACGAGTTTGTGATAAAAAAAAAAAAAAAAAAAAAAACATTACATTGAAATACAAATTTTTGTGCGACAAAAAAAACACGGTGTTCGTTACTTATTTTTCTTTTCGATTAATATCTTACATGTATATTCATCGACAAAATAAATAAATTTGCAGAATCTGCAAAACAATCTCTTGTAGGTGTTACAATTCAACCTTGCAAAAAAGGCTGCTCTTTTTCACATATTCTACCCGATATATTTCACGATCCCTCGTAAAAGCACAGGAATTTTCCTCGCTGAGAGAGCCATCGGAGGCGCTTTACCCTTTTAAGAAGCGTTAAACGCGCTCCGATTCATAAACTGGAACTTATTCTTTCCTTTTTTGCCGATAAAGGAGCAAAAAGCTGTGGAGAATGAGAATTTCAACCACCTGTTACACCGCAAAACCACCCGCGTTCTCATCGACTGAATGCTTAAACTGATTTATCGACAGAAATCGTGAACTTCGTTAAACTCTCTTAATCTTATTCTCAGCGAAAATGCATGTGCTTTCGCGTTATTTGCGAAAATATTCTTAGTTTATCGCTACCGATGATTAAACAATCTGCTCGATTACGCAAGCAGATTGCACAGAGAAAATATGCAAAAGATTTACGAGGTATCTAAACGATTTAACGAATTATTGCGAATTTAACATTTGTTTTATCTGGCTGATTTAAATAGTCATAAATATGTAGTTGTCGTGTGATGTAGCATTATTTACAACCAGTTTTAAACGTATTGAAATCCTATATAAGTTCAAGCATTGACAGTGAGATGGCGACACACACGTACGGGATTAAAGTTTTTTGTTTTAAAATTTTTCATTTACAAAGGCGTGTACATACGCGATGTTATTAAAAAATATCCGCAATATTATAATATCGCGAATATTTTATTCATTCGTGCGTTTTGCAAATACGACCGATATGATTTATTATACTTAATGTAAGTGTGAAAAATCAGTTTCTTATAACGACTAATTTTTTTTACGTTTTAACTGATAGAATACAAGTAGATAAAAGTTTGAAAATTAAATTTTTAAATCCTGTGTTTTAAATTCTTTTGTGAGGAAAATATATATGTGATATTATTTTATGTATCCGGAATCGATAACTACATCCCCTCTAATAGATAATTCAGACAATACAAAAAGAGATAACTTCGCGTATTACTGATGCAAAGAGAAGAGGTGTGTTATTTTTATTAAACAATACTTCTTGTCAGTGTTCGGAGAAAAAAACACACGATAAACTTGATAAAATAAACCGCGGCTTTTGCGCGCTACCGTGGTTTTTCTTTCGTCGCGACGGCACCGTCGTTTTACAGTGACGCGAGGCATCGAAGTCGCCGATTCATACGCTTAATTCGCATTTAATATCGCAACCTTTTCGATATTCACAATAGGCCTTGACAGGGAGCGGTATATATGTGTGCGTATACCGACATATCCCGACTTGTGTGCGCAACTCCTGCTACGCTATATCACAAGTATAAATAATTACTCCAGCGCACAGCAATTACTATAAGTTATGGCGCAGCCGCTACAATTTGCAATGTCAAGACATAAACACTGCTACCGCTTACATTTGAATACATTAAAGCGATGGGAGCCACTGATTGGCCCGACGGGGAATGGTGCGGTCCCGTATCGGTACGTGAGCTACGATCTGGTTGACGATTTTTATTGAGGAAACGATCATCTCTCCACGAGTTCTTCTTCGGCAATCACCGCTACCGTTGCTATCGCGATGCACACGTTGCAGTGTGTGTCGCGTTTGATGAAATGCCCCCATTCTCATTCCTTTCGCGACCGTTTCCTAAAGTGGATCGCGATTTTCCATCGATCTCGAAGTATTTACGAGAAATCCTTTCTCTCTATCTCTTTTTTCTCTCTCTCTCTCTCTCTCGCAATTGTCCTACGACAATCCGTAGATCTCTGTCGCGTTTGCGATAGATTACTCGATTACAGGCACCCGATTACACGTACCTCGCGTTTTCTCCCCAATTTGAAACGTTTCTCGCGAGAACAGAAAAACGGGTTACACGCAACGACGGACATTCAATGAACGATCCTGTTCTTAGTCAACGGGGAAACCCTTGAACGATCCAGTAGCGATCCAATTAAGGCAGAATAGCCGAGAAGCGGATGTTAATTTTTGCCAAATGAAATTGATGGCTGCTATCCGTGTAATGGATTTATTATTCCGCGTTGCTTGATACATGCGCACGATATATAAGGATATTGCGAGATTAGAGATGCTATAGTTTATCATTGCCGCGCGCGTTGTACGTATGTACCATAAATCTGTTACGGGGTGTTCAAATGTCAAAAATCGATAAATCACGGGGAAGAACCGCAAATCTGCGATAGCAATGAGAGACTTAGTCCGAGCGACCGGTGGGCTCTATTTTCCCCCATTACGAGAATCAAGTTTGATTCAGCCTCTCCGGGCCGCAGCCCGCGATCTTGCTGGTCGACTCATCGATCGGTTGAAAAAAGCGATCGTCGAAAGCCAACCGAGTATACGGGGCTGTTTCCGTTGCGGTATGTGACCAGACGCGAGTGCCTCCGGGCGGCGGATATAGCAATCGCCGAGTGTTTTTCGCGTAGTTGTATTTCGATGGGCATCCGATCGCAAAAGAGAGAGCAACGGCGCCGGGTGCCGGCGCGCGAAGGGCAAAAGGGAGGAACGAGGAGGAAGAGGAGGAGGAAGAGGAGGAGGACGCGAGGCGGAGGAAGAGTAGGTTCCGTCCGCGCGCGTATGTGCGGCCGCCAGGCCATTTGCCTCTGCGGTCTCTTGATTCCTAGCGACTAAATTTTCATCTGTACTCATTCAAGTTTTAATGTGTTTTTGCGGCATCAGTCATTCAAACTTAATCAACAACCGGTTACACGTCGGCGCGCGAGCGCGGCCGCACACACGCGCGCGCCGTCGTCCGTACACGCGTACCGCGGGGTGTCCGCCCGGCGCGGATCACCGTGTGTACGTGTGCGGGCGCGACGGAATATTGGTCGGGCGCACTGTGACGAGAGCGTATTAATTATAACTCTGGTCAGAGAAACGTCAAGAGATGCTTTCGCAGATACCTACGATAAATTGTCGGTTTACCAGCAAATCTCATTTCCAAACCCCGCCATTTTTCCGCTCGTTTATCCACGCCCATCGCGGGAGAGAGCACCGCGCGGCTCTCTACGGCGTGCTCGTCGGCCAACGTCGCGGTATTCCCTTCCTTTCACGTGTATACACACCGTGTGTATATCCGGCCGCAGTGCGCGACTGTCGCGTGCACAAGAGTGCGATGACAGCGGAAGGGAGAGCGTTTTTACCCAATAAAGTTGGCGAGCGTAATAGGAATGTCGGCATTAACGAATTCATTCGGAGCTTATCGGGGTACTGCCGGCCTGCGACGTGTCATGATAAGGATTTATTCATTTTAAAATCCATAGAGTATCTTGCGCGTGTTTTTCGTGCGACTGTTAATCGCGCGCGGGCATTTCCAGAAATTACCATAATATCCAAATAACTTCTGTGAAAATAAATATATTTGATACATCTCTCTTTTTCTCTCAACTGGAAAAAAATGGGACAAACTCACCGGTCTTGAAAAATATTTTATCTTGAAAAAAAACTTTGCTAACTACAAAACTTTACTTTAAACAATTTTGCAATTATTGTAAATTTTTTTAAGCGAGTATAAAAAAAACAACTTGTCTTTTCTACTGAAACTTTGATTCCAAAGTTTTTATTGTATCGCGCTTTATACATTCAATGTGCCACGATGTAGTTCTGTAGAAAAGAAGAAAAAAAAAGATAAAAATAAATCGCACACCTAATTGGCCAATTTCCAAACATTTTCTTTCGTAGTCTCGGTAGCGGAGTCCCGTGCGATACACAGTGTCGAA